GCCATTCTAGAGCTTATTGGCTGGTGCATGAAGCTCCTGGTTTCTTTCCATCGCTGTCAAGAACAGGCTTGGGTGGAACTGAGCCTGCGTGGGAGGAGCTGAGGGAAGGCTGCAACTGATAAGGAGGTAATCAAATGTTCTGTGTCAGGAGGAGGATGGAAATGAAACAGAGCAAATAACAGCAAAAAATGTAGTTATGCAAAGAGGCAAAGGGGTCATAAGAATTTTAATGTAAGATTTGCCTCAGATAAGCCCCATGTCAAAATATTTATTTTTTTATAACTTTGAATTACCAATATGTAAATTTTCATTAACGTCAGTGATCACTAAAAATGGTTTTAATTTTTTAACCAATATATAACTCAAGAAATGTAATCTTTCTCCACTGTGAGAATAAGTATAAAAGATTACTACACCTCTTTTTACCTGCTGATGCCCAAAATGATCAGCCAGTTTGGTTTGGCTCTTAATTTACATTAATTTTGGTTTCAAGTCATCATCGTAGGAAATATACTTTTTTTTTTTTATAGCTATTTGCATGATAGAAATAAACCGTGTGAAACACAGCAGAGATCCAGGAATGCCAAGCTTACTATCAAGAGGACAGATAATTTCTTTGTCTGATTGCAGCCTGTTTACATTTTTATCATGGAAATTGTGATAGTTAGAATGAGTAACAATAAGAAATTATCTTCTGTTACAAAAAAAGTCTCAACCTTCTTAATAAGATTAGCATGCCATTATTTTGACCACAATAACTTTGCCATGGAAATTAAAAATGAATAATATGTTTTTTTTATCTTTCAGAACCTTAAATGAATGATTTTCAATTTCAGATTTTTAACTAATGTGAATTTTTATATTTTCTGGCTCTGTCTACATCCTGTATTAAAAATAGAGTTGGATAAACAGTAAGGCTGAGCCCTCTTTGCTGCATATTAAATTATGCACACCATTTATCTAAATGTAAGTGATATGGTGAGTGCTTCCTACTAAGTAATTTTCATTACGTATCAGATTCAGCCATCAGATAATTCTAAAAATATTCATTGTGCCCTCAATGGCATTTTTTCTGGAGTTGGCTGTTTGGGTGACAAGTTACAGTCAAGAATGAAATTCTTTGCAGTTTCATGGTACACTGTGTCAAAGATTATCAAGTAGCTTTGAACATCACTGATAATTCTCCCTCAACTGTGACTAAAAGTAGGCTAAAGGGAAGTAAAACTTCAGTTATTTCTAATGATTAATTAAGAGTCTTGAAAATTTTTCTGTTTGATGTTCCTTGCCACTGATTTATTGTTGTAAATTCTGATATTCTTTATTTAACTTCCTATTTTTGCTTTCAATGTTACACTGCATAATTGATATGTCACTTATATTGGATACAATTATAAATGTGAAGTCCTTAAAAATATACCTTATCTCCCTGTTAGGCTCAAAGCAAAAAAACCCTTCAAACAAAGTAGTAAGCTGTCATCAAGCATATTCAAAATTCCAGGGTTGCAACATGCTTACTAATTTTCTTGAAGATACCCAACATATGTTTCTCTACATTTGAAATAACCCCAACTCCCCTTAGCCTTTGCAGGTCAAATTTTCCTGGCTTAACCATTTGTGTGATTTTTATTGAGCTCTCCTAACATCTTATACCTCAATCAATATTTAAATAATAGGGTGCCTTGGAAAGGGTCTTGCCTATGAGGAAAGGAAGCAAAGAATAATTTGGGAGTCCAAAACCTGAAAATACTGCTGTCACTGAGCCTAAAGCTTTAAAATATATTCTTTTTTTTTTTTTCATGTCCGGCAACGGGATCGCAAACCTCAGTGCTGCGCCCACACCTCGCTCAGCCAGTGGGCGGGAACCGGTCTGTATGTGGGATCCGAACCCTCGGCGGGAGCGCCACCGCACTCCCAAGTGGTGCACTGTAGCAGTGCGCCACCGGGCCGGCCCCTAAAATATATTCTTGAAGGGTGATGTTCCTGAGACTATTCTAGCAACCAAATGGATTCGTTCACAAAATAGGAGCCTTAGCCTTACCCTAAATGATACCCACTTTTGATGTACTCATTTCTTTTTTGAGATTGCTAGTCCTTTCTTTTCTCATGAAAGAAAAACACCACCTGCTGCAAGCTGGATGGTGACACTAATTCAGATAGATTTTACTACAAAAGAAACACATTGCCAAACAAAAATTCTCCAGAGAACAAAGATCATGCTAATGTTATAATATATATTAGACAAAGCAGATTCCTAGCTGTTTCTAGATTCTTTGTTATTAAAAATGTTTTCTGATCAGGGCATATAATTCCAGTGTCTCCTGAGGCCTTATGCCTTTTTGAACCACAGCTCTCTCTAAATTATGAACTAAGAAATTAATTCCATTTCACTTGCTAGTAAAAATGAACTCCTTACAACTCACATTGGAAGTCATCTGTGAAGAATTATTGCAAAATAGTAGGTGCTCACCTTTTGCTAAAATTAAATTTATTAGCCTAACAGATTAGAATTACTCCATTATTCCTTACTTTTAAAAAATGGCATTTTACAAAACTGAAATGGAGATTATAGTGATAGTGGCTAGTCAGTGTTGGCATTGGTATTCTGAAGGCCCTTGTTTGTCTGCTAAGTTGTCACTTGTCTTCTGTTTGGTCCAAAGGAATGACTGCTCTCTCTTTCTCATCCCCCCTCCCCCACAAACAAATGAAAAAGCATTTAAAAGAGAAGAACGGTGAGTTTCCATTTACTCAGAACTTTTTTTATTCCTGAAATCTTTCCTCAGCTGAAACAATTCCCTAAAGTTCACCCATGATAATAATGGCTCTGTGTGTGTGTGTGTGTGTGTGTGTGTGTGTGTGTGTGTGTGTGTGTGTAAAATAGCACTTACTATATTTCACTGCTTTGAGCACTTTTATAAATTAACTTATTCAGTCCACGTAACACTTGAGGTGGGTACTGCTGTTAACCTCATTTCACAGGTGAGGAACCCAAAGCAAAGCCACATAGCTGAACAGAGGCTGAGGCAGGATTTGAACTCATGCATCCCGACTGCTCCTCAGTGTGTTACCAAACCAGAAGGAAACCACTCAGCTGCACTCTTGTTGAACTTTGAATGAACAGCATTTGATGTTGTCAGCTATCTTCTTTTTTGGGGGGATGGAAGAGGAAGAATTTTATTCTTTATTTTCAAAGCTAGTAATTATAATAATAGAGAGCAGTAAGAAAACTTTAGTAAGGAAGCCACAAAGTTTTACATGGTACATTCTAAATTACTTTTGGAAATATAATAATATTATAGACTGTATGTTCTCATCAAGATCATAACTCAGAAGTCCATGAAAGACAAGTAAGGAGAATAAGTTTTGTGTTTTCCAAAATATCTATTGCCCTCTATGGATAAATATCACATTTGAATAACATAAAATAAGGTGTGGCTAATTCTATTAAACAGAAACCAAAAAGGAATTTCTTTTTTTGCCTCCTCTAATTTACCATCTTAAACCTCAGCTATATAATAAAAGCCACTCCTGTAATCTATCAAGATAGATTTATCTGTTGTCAGATCTGGTGACCAGGTCAGTACTTTTTTTTTTTTTAATTGAAACCTATTGATTATACATATCTGTGGGGTACAGAGTTGTATTTCCATACATGTATGCAGTGTGTGATGATCTATCCTCCTTTGCATTTGTGGCAATTATTTATTGAGCATGGCTCCATGTCAAGCACTGTTCTAGGCACTGGGATATCTCAGTGAATAAAAAATCAGACAAAAATCCTTCCCCTTGTGGAGCTTACATCATAATGGGGAGAGACAGATAATAACAGATAATGAAAAGTAAACATAATAAACAGGTAAATTACGTAGTATGTTAGAAGATGGTAAGTGCTATGGAAAAATAGGCAACAATATATATAAAAAGAGAAGAGTAGAGAGGATTTGGGAGTACCTCTTGGGGCAGGAATGCAAAATTAATGGGGTGGTCAGGGAAACCCTATTAAGAAAGTAATATTTGAGCAAGGTATGAAAGGAGATGAGGGATGGACCGTAAAGATGTTTGGAGGAAGGGCATTCCAAGAAGAGGAAACAGGCACCAGGCAGTACCAAGGTGGGCTTGTGCCTAGCATGTTCATGGAGTACCGAGGAGGTCAGGGAGGTGAAGAGGGGCAAAGGTGGTCGGAGACAAGATCCAGTAAGTACAGGAGTGGGCAGAACAGGACCTTGCACACTGTTATGGGGACCTTGGCTTTTCCATTGAGAGAAATGGGGACACTTTGGAGGCTTTCAAGCAGTTTTTGTCAATAAAAAGGGAAAATATATATTCTAATTACCTTCATCTTATGGCTTGTGTTTTGGGACAATGAGCCTGAGTTGCAGGGCCATTGCTTACTGTAGAGGAGGCAGAGAGATTATTTCCCCTGTTTTGAGAAACTGCAGTGGTACCAAGGGCATCCCACTGAAATTTTTCAACAACCAGCTCTTCCTGCTATGAAAGTACACTGAAGATAAGGAAAGACAGAAAAGAACTTGGAAGATCCACTGACCCTCTACTATAATTCAAATGAATTCTTACATAAAGAGTTTAAGAATCGCATCCATCTTATTAGAAAATTTTTCCCAGTGTAAAATGTTGATTCACATCACTTTTTAAAAAATCATTCATTTCTCTATTGTTGTTGGAAATGATTGCTCTTTCCCTGGCATTTCAAATTTAAACTTGATGTACTTCATTATTTCTGAAGCTTAAAGTATATGAAGTCTGAATGCTGCCAGATTTAAAGCCAACACTCTTTATTGATGTATTTTTAAATACAACTCATCCTAGTCAGGGAGACTTCAAAAACAAATTTACAACAGTTTTGTGGTATCCATTTCCAAGTACCAGTAGGCAATACTTTATATCAAAATGTAGTATCAGGTTCTGGGGAAAGTGATATAAATATGAACTGGCTGCCTGAGTAAAATGATTGATTGATGTGATTTTTGTTTTGTCATTTCAAGGGAGTGAAAAAAATAGACCCTGAATTCTATGAAAAATTTATCAGTCACAGATTTGGAGAAGAAATGTTATATCGCATAGATCTTTGCTCCATGCTAAAGAAAAAGCAATGTAATGGATATTATCACTGTGAGTCTTCAATTGTGATTGGTGAGTACCATTTAAAAATTATCATCTTTGTTTTCAAAATTATTTACTTAAAAATTATTTATTACCTTTAGTATCACTTTATTTTGGCAAATATTTAGGATTAATTGTATATGTTTTTCTCAGTGACGCATTTGCCATTATGTTTTGGCAATCATTGAAAATTTTGTAGAACATTTTTAGTATATGTATATTTATCACTCAAGATTTTATTACCTATGGTTTTTATGCTTTTGTGCTTGAAATGTTGATTCAGAATTCATTTCGGTTTAATTTTATTTCACGAACATGAAGACCTACATGACCACACCATTCCACACCAGGCATTTTCATGTTTGCTGCTTTTAATGGAAGAAAATGACCCAGGCCAGAAAGTTTCACTCTGTGAAGAAAAAATGTAGGTGGCCTACAAAAATTGAAAACTTCCATTTCTTCCCTCAGGAAAACATGTTTTGAGGTGAAACAAAGATTCATACATAAATGCTTCTGTCAGATAGCATGTGGCAAGACAGACTCATACTGAATTATGTTTCCGGGTGAAGAGTGTGTACACAGAATGAATACCTTTTAACCAGAACAGGGTTGTTCCCCACCTTCTGCAATGTGAATGTATTTCAAAGGAGCCTGCTCTTTTGTGAATCAAATTTACTATTTCAAGCCAGACACTGTCATAAAATTGTGAACTTTGAGACAACCTTATTTACATACTTTTAAAGTAACATGAAAATACTGAAAGAAGATAAATACTCATATATGTATTTAAATATTTCAAGATTTTCAACCGTGATGATTTCTGTCCATATCAGCTTGAAGAAAACCTATGGATATATATACATCCTGAGAGAATATCATACTGGGGTTTATTAAAGCATTTAAAAATGTTCAAGAGACATGATTTTATTTCCAAATCTTCTTTAGAGATCTTCAGAGAAGTCATCATTTTACCTTCCAAAGATCTCAGCTATCTTAAGCAGAAGATATTTAGCATGTCATTTGAAACTTATATTCTGAAACATTTCAAGTCTTTATTTTAAGGAAGATTTTCATGATTTCAAAATCTCTGTAAGGCAGCAGCTATCTTCCATCCAAGTTTTGATGAGGACCTGGTATTTCTGTTTAGGTTCATTGTAAAGGGTAAATTTAGACCTTCCTTGTGTAATACAGATTTTAGCTGGCTTTCCCTATCTTCTCTGTAACTAGTTTAGGCCAGCCTTCAAAGAGAATGCAGTGCTTTATTGCCTTTTCCACTCTCATTTAAAAAAAAAAAAAAGGAATATGTAGGTTTTACTGAAGATATTGTGGGACTGGCATTATATACCTTATAGTATGTATCATCTAAATTGCCATCAGACATCTCTGTTCAGCTCACCCTACATCACTATGTTCCAGCCACCGAGATTTTCTCTTTTATTACTCTTTTCTAGCTTAGTCTCTAAATTTCCCCATAGTCTAGGTAATTTCTCTAGATCTTTCCTTCAGACTTCTTTCTCTCTCTCGCCCTTTTGTAATTCATATCAATTTTGCTTCTTTCAAACACCACCAATCTTGTATCTCCATACCAATCATTTAACATTGTTTTTTAAAAAAAGGTTTTTGTGTATTACAAATAATCTTTTTTTTCTGTTACATTTGGTAATGCCAATATGAGCTTTAACATAAAATTTGCATCTAAAATAATAATTTACTATGTTATAATTAATCAAGTTTAATACACATTAGAATTCTTTTATTTGCTTGTGGATAATCATTGATTTTTTTCAATCTACCCAACTTTTGTAACAGAATATGTATCAGGATTTGGAATGCTTTCTTTATGAGTTTCATTTCTTGATCAGATTTAATTGGCTTACATCGGTTTGCCTTGTCTTTGATTTGTTCCTAACTGAAATTTAATGTCTGTTTTCTGAACCTTGAGCCAATATTTTACTGTATGCATTAACAGAGCAGCACAGATTTCAGATCTTAAGGTATTTTGTATTCAGAATTCTGGGGTAGAAGTTGGGCCTCAGGGACTCTGGGAACTTCCTGAAATTATTTACAAAGCTTTGTGTGTAGGTACATATGTGAATTTTCATGGGGAGAAAATTTAGCTTTTATCAGATTTGCATATTTCCTGTTTCTTAATTTGTTAATGGTACATTCTTAGAGAGTGCTAGATTCCAAGTCACTGACTTTCTTTTCAGCAGTCTCTATTGTACCATATAGAGCATTTTTTTTAAGTATCAATGACTGTATGCTTTATTTTTAGGGTTTCCAGTTATTTTTTTTTCATATTTTCTTGTTCTATACTTTGCTTCATGGACATTATTCCTTCATTTATGTCTTTGAGGATTTTAATGTAGTTAATTTTTAAAGTTCTTTTGATATTTTAAAAAATTTATAGTTCTTTAGATATGAATTCTTTTATTTGTTTGGTCTTTTGTGGCACTCAGTTTCTTCTTGTGCTTTTTAAGTTTTTTTCAGAGTTTTTAATTTTTTTTAAACATCCTACCAGTCTCTTACTGTGTTTACCAGAGATCACAAATTAGCAGGCTTACATGTTGTACCTGATTGGCACAGGGTTTTTTTGTTTTTAATAATTTGAATTACTTGCCAACATTGGGGTGATAATAAAATCATATTTATTTATTTATTTTTTTTTCCTTTTTGTCTTTTTTCATGACCGGCAACGGGATCGCAACCCTCAGTGTCGCACCCGTACCGGACTGGGACCGGCAACGGGATCGCAACCCTCGGTGTTGCACCCGCGCCTCGCTCAGCTAGTGAGCGGCCGGTCTGTATGTGGGATCCGAACCCTCAGCGGGAGCGCCACCGCGCTCCCAAGCGGCACACTGTAGCAGTGCGCCACCGGGCCGGCCCATATTTTTTTTTAAAAAATCCGAATTTTTACTTCTGAACAATCAGAATATGTGGTCACACTGGTCCCTGTATGATTTCCTGGGTGGAATAGTAGGCACACTGACCTTGAATGTAGCTGCCTTTCACCATCTCCCTTATTCTGTTGTTCTTCTCACACACATCTGCTGACCTCATTCACACTATCTACTCATAACTCGGCTCCTGCGGGCATCTGAGTTTGGAACCCCTGTCAGCTGCTGCTGTTCCCTGTAACTGCTTTATATTTCCATGGCGAGCATTTTTCTCTTCATCTTATGTCATAGTCTACTTTTATGTGGACTGTTAGGGGAATTTGGTAGGGTATGGAGGCAGCATTCATATTTTCAGGTATAAGAAAAGGTACATACAACATTTTAGTTGTCTCATAATCAAAACTTTGGGTGACATTACGCTTACTTACCTTTAGGCTACAACTCCTTGCAAACCTAACTGTACTAATCAGCTAGAATTCAAATCAAAAAGAAAAAAAAAGTAAAAATCCCAGTTCTTTCTGTGAAAACCAGGAATGAAATATAGTTTGGATATCCTAGGATTATGAAATCTGTTTTGTCTGAGCTACTTACTCAAGTTGGGTGAATTAATTTTTCTCAGGTGATGTTCCATTTATATTTCCTTAGGGAAGCTAATTGACTAAATGACACCTTTTGGAAGATTGATGAGCAATTTAGTGCTTGCAAAGACTAGTTTACTTTGAGCTGTCAGATATATCTTATAGGAGGCAGTGGGGAATTTGGAAAGGTCTAGAAGATATTTTTTTGTCATTGTCAGGCCAGTGTCTTTCTTTTTAACTTCTGCAAGCAGACATGCAAACAGAAGTATTTTCTGGGAACCCCAGTTGTTTTCTGGCTTAATAACAATTATTCAACATTAATTTAATGCATGTTATTGAGTGTGTACACTCAATTGAGTAGGAGTGCCTACTCCTCTCTTGGGTATTGTGAGATAACAGAGAAGAATAAGACATAGTCCTTAAAAGTGAGAAAGAGTCACTTGGCAGCTAAGACTACATCTGAGAAATCGAGAGGGAGGAGGAATAGATGAATAGGGCTTGTCCATAATAATAATGGGCTTTGATAGGACACAGTATAAGAAGCTTATAATTTTACCTTCTAGGAGAGTGTGGGATTGGGGAGTAGCAGAATTCAGCCGAATAGGATGAGATTGGGGAGCAGAGATATGGAGAGTAGAGAAAGGAGATTTTTTGGAACAAATAAATATGTTTTACAGTGGGAGAAAAACAAAGTACTGGGAGGCTGGTGGAGGCAAAAATAGTGATAGGAAACATCTTGATTGAACCTACAGTTTAGTTAGCTGAGGAGCTACAGAGTGGGAGGTTGCTAGGTTTGCGTGTTTGAGGAGTTGGTGAAGGGATGGCCATAGTTACACACACTGAGGCAGCGAATATGTAATAAAGGAGACCGAGTACATAGATGTGGGATAAAAAGAAGGTGAAGTTTAATACTTAACCTTATAACACAGGACTGTATCCTAAAGATTTAGCCTTCAATTAATTTCAGACTACTATAGCATAAGAGGCAATCAGGAGGTTAGTGATGGGCCAACCATAGGTCACATAGAAGCAGGCAGATCTGCCCAGACATGCTAATAGACTAGGAAAGGAGTCACAGTCAAGTAAGTCAGTATTATAGCTATAGTTTATTTAGTCTGTATCCAGTGCCAAATACTTCAGGCCTTTAGGACACCAGACTCAAATTTTATGGGCCGAAACACTAAGGAGAATTTTGAATGAGTTGGGTCAATGAATTTATTCCATCCAGACATCTCTCCTTTTTAAGAATCACCCTTAAGAGACCCTGGCAGCTTGGACCAATTCTGTTAGTCTTAAAAGGCTTGCCATGGTCCACCCAGGGATTTCTAGTAGTTGTATCTGGTGTTAGTTCAGCCAAAAGGAAAGGATTTTTTGTGTTGCATCTGGGGTTGGAGTCCCTTTTGACTGAGGAGACCCTCAGCTCTAACTTTGATGTCCTAATCTTCAGTGCCTCCTTATCCATAGGGGCTCAAGAGCATTAAGCTGCTCACTTCTGGATCTTGCCCAGTTTTAGTATGTAGGCATGGGAATCTTAATGGAAGATATACTGTTAGTG